TGTAACGTCTTCTCTGTATGGTGTGTGGTATGATCACATTTTTTTGAACGTGATAAAAATACAGACCGACCATATGATTGAAGTCGGTGCCAGTGAAGATATCGTCTGAACTTGCACAAGTGCCGGCTCATTTTATCAGCTCAGCAGGTGCTCCATTTGCTGTGTAGGGATTGACAAAAGAACAAGAAAGCTCTACCTCTCTCACTGCCGCCGACAAATATGGCCCTGGTCTGCGATGATTTTCTCGCCTTTGAGGTAAACGCATGTTTGTGTTTTGTCAATACTTTATTTTACTAAAAATACTCGTGTACTCGTTTTCAGGAAACGCTAAAAAGTTTACGCAAAGTAGACGACAATATTGTACATGCACTGAACACGACCATCCCCACTTCATCGTTCTCAGAGAAGGGCATCGACCCTTCGGCCCAGTGCCAAGAACTGTACAAACAAGTGAGTGAAACAGAGTGCTTGTAAACACAATGATTTTAACGGTAATCCATCTTTGTTCAGCTTAACGCTGCTCATCAAAGTCGAGAAAATGCCATCAAAAAGTGCATTGTCTCAGTCTCTGAACGAGTGCACAACTTGCGAAAGCAACGTGATGAGGATGGAGATAACCTACAGGTGACGAAGGAGCTGAAAAAGGAACAAAACAAATTGCGAATGATGCAGAATGAACTCCACGTTGAAGAGGTTGTTTGTGATCGAAGCTCAAAGGTACGGTTTCATTGTTTACAATTGTTATTCGTCTCTAACTTTCTCATACACTATTTTCGGTGTAGATTTTTCACGAACGATGCAGACTCTTCTTCAGACCTTGAAGCAAAAATCCAAACCGCCTTCTGTTAGAGCCATTTCAATATATTGAATTCATATAGTTTTTTACATTTTTATTATAGTTACAAATAAAAACAAACATTTAACAACATGAAGAGAACTTTTTCTACACTTCTGGCTACTCAGTAGCCGTACATCTTACTTCTTCAAAGATTTGTTATGAACAATGTTGTAATAAAAAGAGGAGTTCAATGCTTCTTGCTCAGCTCCTCTTCCTTGCGTTTGTTATACTCCATCTGGTATTCCCGATTTCTCTTCTCAATTGTGTCACCAGCTTTGACAGCTCGCTTGCCAATGACGGCGTTGGCAAACATGCCCAGCGCCGCAACGCCCATCATTCCAATGGCCACGTGCACTCGGGCCTTGTCGTGAACTCTTCTCATCATGATGGAGCTGGTGGTAATGTTTCAAGATAAGCGTAACGGGTAAATAAGAGGATGCTAGATAGAGGAAATTGTGTGCTCTACCTGACAGTGTTGGGTATCTCCGCTTTGCTGGGGAACTTTTTGTAGCGAACCAGGAGCCATTTGTCGAGTGCATTGGGCACATGTCCCTTTGAGTCGGTGGATGACATGTTGACGATGGAGTTACTGCTTGAGTGGTGACCACCAGCCGCTTCCTTCTTCGAATCGTCACTGGTGTTTTCTTCTGTCTTCACCTTCAAGCAGCTCTGTACTTTGTAGAGTAGTGCTACNTGATGACATGTTGACGGTGGAGTTACTTGACCACCAGCCGCTTCCTTCTTCAAATCGTCACTGGTGTTTTCCGTCTTCTGTCTTCACCTTCAAGCAGCTCTGTACTTTGCAGAGTAGTGCTACAGCAGCAGCTGATGCAGCAGTGCAGAAGACGACAACAAAATCACCACATCTGTGTTGGGCAGATGTTTGCTATGGAAACAGTTGGGCTGAAGTTTGTTTGGTTATTCAGCGCCAAACCAACCGGTCAACCGACAGCAGCAGCAGCCCAGTCATGGTCATCCTTTATAAAGTGGCTCCCCGATAAATCTGGTGCATGTGTGTCAGGGGTGAGTGTACAGCACGCCTTTGCTCACCATTTCTCGTTCTCACCCTCACATTCACTCTCATTCACACCTCAGGCGCCTGTCACGCTCGATCGTCGTTCAAGCTCCG